CACCAGGCCCATCAAACCTCAAGAGTTTAACCCTCGAGCACCCCAAGCCATGACATCACACCAGGTCCATCAAGCCTCAAGGGCTTAACCCTCGAACACCTCAAGCCCTAGCACCGCGCTAGGCCCACCAGACCTCGAAGGCCTGACCTTTAAGCACCTTAAGCCTTGACATCACCCCAGGCCCATCAAGCCTCGAGGGCTTAACATTCGAGCCCCTTAAGCCCTGGCATCGCGCCAGGTCACCAAGCCTCGAAGGCCTGACCCTCGAGCACCTTAAGCCCCGGCATCGCCCTAGGCCCATCAAATCTCGAGAGTCCAACCCTCGGGTAACACAAGCCCTGGTATCTCACTAGGCTCATCAAGCCTCGAAGGCCTAACCCTTGAGCACCTCAAGCCAGGCCCACCAAGCTTCGAGGGCTCAACCCTCGAACATCCTTAGCCCGGGCACCACCCCAGGCCATCGAGCCTCGAGAATTAACTTTCAAGCAACTCGAACCATTGACATTGCACCAGAGAGCTCGCCTGCAGGACTCCAAAAGTCCAGTCATAGTACGAAACGAAGGTAGGGTATTCACAGCTGTGAGGGACCTAAACTTGGGAAACTTAAAAGGATCTTGGACTAATGGATGAGAAGTAAAGAGAAGCCTTCGCTCCCAGCAAGGCCCGATCAACAAGATGATGGGATTATATACATTATGACAGCAAACCTTAAAATCACATTTAATGTTGTGTCAGGCTTAACCAACCGGCGGCCAAGCAAGCACAGAAAGCATGTAATGCCCCAAATAAGGGAGAAGCAACATAGTGCATGGCTTGATGAAAGGATTGGACCTCTCAAACTCCTAGGCCTATTAAGATTACCCATGTGATCATGCTTAGGAGGCAGACATGGGAGAAACTGTCCTGACCTATAAATAGCACTATCCCATGAAAGAATAACATACCACAAGGAGCTGTCATAAATACTGTATTAACTGCCCTACCACCATCTTAATCTTGAAGATTGGTCTTTTTCTTTTCCTTTACCGAGTATTTTCTCTAATTTCCTTCATATTTGAAATAAAAAAAAGAACCCCCCCTCCCCCCCCCCCCCCCCACACACACACACATATATATATATATATATATATATATATATATATATATATATTCAAGGCAAGAAGTGTTAGAAGTTAGATTAATAGATGCACAGAGTCTAAGGCTGGCACTCCAAGATTCACTGGGCTATTGAGGCATCTGTCATGTTTATAAATATATAACAGGTCAAAAACTATCATTTGAAACAAAATGTTGTTAATCAAGGCAAAATTGGAATGAATAATAACAACAAAGATAATTCTGGAAGAGGCTACAAAATGAAATTCAAAAAAGTTTAACATTTAATGCTCTGTTTGGTAGGAAGGCAGAAATTATTGAATGGAAAGGAGAAGAAGAGATGAATATGACATCCAATTGTGTCCTTCCCTCCTTTTGTTTGGTTGGATTGAAGAGAAAATGATGAGGTAAATACTTATTTTGTATGTGAAGGGAGAAGGGATGAAAGAGTGTTAATTATAAAGAAAGTTTTGTAATTTTAATTCTTTTATAATAGCCTTGGAGTCTTGAAGGGATAAAACTTTTATATTTAAAGGGATAAAAATTTGTAAAGGATGAATGATGACTCATTCATCCTGTTTTCTTCTCTTTTTTCCTCCTCTATCAAAAGAATGGAGTTTATTTTGTTCTTACCTTGCTTCATTTTTCAAAATTTGATAATAAAAAATAAGTAAATAAACTAAAGTTTATAGCCAAATCATGTACTTGAATTAATTGCTTTACATCAAGATATTTTCAAAATGAAAATGGCTTGGATTAAGCCCCAAGTACTTATTAGTGTAGTCACTTGATTGTAATAATTCTGTAATACCATAATTATAATATTCGAGACAAGAGAAGGCAACCAAAAGAAGACGTTTAGTTTTTATTCATGAACTGACGTACATCATCCATATATATTGAATTCTCCATAACAGTGAGCACATAGCTAGCAACAAAAGAAACAGCTAGAATATATATATATATATATATATATATATATATATATATATATATGATCAAGCCATTTTAGCATGCAGCAGCAAGTGCATCATATTTGATGTGACGTTCATTGGTTTGGACCGTTATCTCCAGAAGAGTGTCTGGTTGACAAAAAGAAATTCAAGAGAAATTCATATATTAATTACGAGCAATAAACATGATCTAGTCATTCGTTTAGGCTAAACAAAAATCATTCATCATTTAAAAGATATTCTTTTAAGAAGTTGTTAACCCTAGAGTAATATATTAGATACAGGCCTGCTAAGTAGGGGACTTGGAAGAAGAGGCCATGGCGAGATCAAGACGAGTGTTAGACCTTGGCAAAATTAAAAAAAATTGGGTGATTGATTTATGTTGCCGCCATAAATAATTTGAGAAATTGTTGTGCTTGGTAGTGTAACTACTTGTGTGTGAATGAGAAGATATGACAATGCTCTTGGGTTGAGAAATACGTTAATGCTCTTGGATTTTTGAAGGATAATTTGGTACTTAAAAATAAGAGTTTGATGGGTAATTTGGATATCAATAATGATTTTCGTTGGATGTGTAATTATTTTGCTTAATTCAAATGTAGACACTACATTTTTTACCCCCTTTCAACCTATCAACCTCCCAAATCTCGAGAAGAAACTACATTTCCATCTCCCAAGACCATTTCCCTGATAGGACCTAACTACGGTAGAAAACTAAGAACAGACAATCAGCCTGTCCGATTGGACATTGGACTTCGCCATTGCACTCATGACATCACGTAATGTCACGAAACACTTCAATCGGCCACATCACATACTTCTTGACGCCCGATCACCATTTCCTAGAAAAAGGCAAAACTGACATTTTGCACTACAGCCCCATGATCTAATTGTCAAATCGACAAACGGACTTCACCATTAAGTTCAAAGGACCCAAAAACCCTAAGGTACACTTCTCCTTAAAGTCCTTACGATTCGCCCTCACACACTTTGACCAAAACTCTCGGCAGGGCCCGAGTGGTCAACCCCGAGTTTAACTTTTCACGTCAATGGTCAAACTCACCCACGGACTTCACCATTGTACTCATAAGGTCCAAAAACCTAGAAGAACACTGTAATATTGCCTACCTTCCAGCCCGGCCCCCACCTTTGACCAAGTCTCTATGGTAGGGACCAACCAATCAATCCCAAGGTTTTACTTTTTGAAGAAAATGTCAAATGGACAAATGAACATCACCATTGGATTCAGAGGGTCCAAAAACCCTAGAAACTATTATAATATTGACCATATTCCAATCCCAGACCAATTTGACCTAGTCTCCACTGTCAGGGGCAAAACCGGTAAAACTGCACTACGCAGGGACTTTCCGCAATTACAAATGGATAAGATATGCCACTTCAGCAGTGTGAGGTCATCATAAAGTAAAAAATTCCAAGAAAATGCCTCAAAATTCTAAAATGGCATGAAAAGTAATTTCTAAAAAAGCAGGGGTAAATCTTCTTATTATCAGATGTGATGTAGTTTAATCCATAATTAATCTCCTATTTGCTAACATAAATTGTTATTCTCAACCGTTGGCTACAAATTGCAGTTCAACAGTAGTATCTTTTCAAATTTCTTGAATCAGCAGACTTTTTATATTTAGGGAGAATTGCAAAAAACTCCCCACGACTTTTAATCAGTTGCGAAAAATTTCTCTTATGAATATTTTTGACAAAAAAAATCTAAACTATTCCAATGGAGTGTTTTTAACTGATATTCGTTTAAGTGATCTTTTGAGGCAATTTTTTGAACGAAATTACCCCTTAACAGTAAAGACCTTTGTTTTGTCATTTACTTCTTTCACCAACGTCTTTTCCCCATTGCATTTCTCGAAATCTGCCAATCTGTTGATGAGAGCCTCCAAGGCTCCGGCGGCGACCGCCTTGTGACGGTTCGACTTCACCAAGCACAAACCTAAGGTTAGATTGGTTTAACGGCAATTGCAGCTAACCTGACCTTTGATCACTACAATTCTCACTCTCCCTTTGTTTTTTTTGGACAGAAACAATAATATAATTACATGCCTTGTTTTTATATATATTATTTTTAGTACTACTGTAACTATGCGTTGAAGTGCATGTTCTTGTTTTCCTGAAAATTCTTGGTGCTTCAAGTTGCAGCCATGGTGGCAAGGCCCCATCATATTCAATATGTATGTGCATTCTATGAATTTTGTATAATTTTGGACAATTCCATTTCTCTAAGTTCTTTAAGATGGTACTAAACTTTCAAAAACATTGATTAATTTTAGATGTCTGTTGGATTAAACGTCAAGAAAATGTAAAAATAGAGTAGTATTTGGTGATTCAAGAGTTGCACGCTTGCCGGAGAAAAATGAATTAATAACTTGGTGGTTGGATTGAAGGAGTTTGGTTTTAAATTTAAGTAATGATAAATGATAAATGAGTTCATAGTAAGTGGGTTAATATCTTGAATGAGAAGGCTTGCTTGATGGAGAGAGAAAAAAATAATAATAATAAATTATCTAAGAATATTATGTTAACGTGGATGACGTGGCGAGAGAACTATATGTCTTTGTTTTTAAGGGGTAGTTGAGGGGGATTTTTGTCAAAAATATTCATAAGGGGGTTTTCGCAACGGACTAATAGTCGAGGAGCATTTTTGCAATTCGCCCAAAAAAAAAAAAAAAAAATTCCTTTCTGGAAGAACAAACTAATTGAATTTTAAACTACTAAAGACAATAATTGAAAAGTAAATAGAAAATTAAATGCATACTTTTCATAGATTTATGTCGCGCTAATAATTATTCCCCCATGTGAAGCCTACCCACACAAGTTTTTATAGCTTTGTTTTAGGTAGCCTAATAATGTTGTCTATTAATGGCAAGAACATGATATAAAAGATTAAAATAAAAAAATATCCAAAACCTGAAATTGTTTTTTTTTTTTTTCCGAAAAGCAAAACCTGAAATTGTTGATTCTCTTTAATTCGTTTAAGAGTTAGGGTTAGGGAAAAAAAAATCATCACGGTCTTTCAATATTTTCCGAGTACTTTGGATTTCATACAAAAATTGTGTAAAACTTTACTTTTGAGTTTAAATTTGAAAGCAGACTCCCTTCGTATTTAAAAGTAAGATTATCGCTTTTAGTTGGGATTCAGTGTTTTCCTTTGGATAATGACTCTGCAGTGGGATTTGCCCATGGGGGAGACTTTTCAATCAGCACTCGGGAAAGCATTGAAAAATGGGGTTGTTAGATGTTTTGAATTAGCATACAGGATCTTAAAATTTGATTCCTAGTGCTTCTGATTCATTTCGACATTATTTCCCACCAATTATCCTTTTCTACTATCATTGCAGATTTGTTTTTGACTTTTGTTAATTTCCTAAATTTTATATCGGATTTTACTGTATAGTTTTTTTTTTTTTTTTTTTTTTAAATAATGGGCTCAACTAAAGACGGAATTTTAGTAATCAAACATTACAATACGTTGAGATTTCTGTAGAAGATTCTTAAAGAGCACTATAAACAAACATATTTAAATCTCTTTTTCTATCAAGAAAACATAGATGCTAATAAATATGATTAAATTTCATAAACATAGTGAAAACCCATATAATAAAAAAAATTATTTTGCTAATTGAACAACAAAATTGACAAGTCCAATCCCAATCTATGAAATTTCGATAATCACATTGCAATCCAATATTTAAAAAACCAAGTGCAAGGGATACAAAAACTAATTTTTAATATTTATATTAAAAATTCAAAAAAAAAAAAAAAAATTTGCTTCCAAAATGAAAAGGTGAAAAAGCAAGAAAGATGGAGAAATGATAGGCAGGAGTGAAAGTTAACCAAAATAAATAAATAAATAAATAATAAAAAAAACCAAAGTAGGCATAGACGCATAGTAGTAGATCACAATATGAAAGACAAAAGTAACAGAAATAAGAAGAGTGAAACAAACTAATAGCTAATAAAATAGTCCTACATGAACATATCTTTTATACAATAATTGTCGTTATGCTAACACTGGAAAGAAACTATTTTGGGACTCGATAGATAAATTGATACACTGTATATCATGAAAGCATATTCTTAAGGACCTAGACGGGTGGGTGAATAAGTTTTCTTCCTCAACTTTTGTTACCGATTAAATTACCAATTGATTAACTATTCTCTCCATCCCAAAATAATTGGGTACCTTGGCAAAGTACCCAATTATTTTGGTACATAGAGAATATTAAACTCACAGCGATCGACATCTTGCCCGAAAAACAATAACCAAGATGTTAGCAAGAAGAATAACTGTCCCAAATCCAATCCCAACAGCCACACCAATGATAGTGTCATTCTCTCTGTTGGAGTTATTTCGTGGTTCATCAGGAAGTGGATCCCTAGTTGGACACGGAGAAGCATATTCACCACATAGACCCAAGTTCCCCTCGTAGCTCGAGTTTGGAAAAGTTGAAAACTGACCTCCCGTTGGGATTACCCCGTGGAGTTGATTGTATGCAATGCTGAACTTGGACAGAAAGCTGAGACTTTCCAAGGAAGGAGGAATAGTTCCAGAGAGATTATTATGGGACAAGTCCAGTGACTCTAGGCTTGTCATACCTGACAAATTACTAGGGATGGTTCCTGATAAATTATTGCATTTCAGATCCAAGACATGCACCTTTTTTAGATTCCCGAACTCCGGCCAGATTGGTCCGGTAAGAAAGTTGTTACTGAGGTCCAATGTGGGTGGAAAGCGGTCGACCTGATTGTATTGCAAACTTCTAGCACTTAGATTCCGTCTCATGAAAAAGGGGAAATCTTGTGAAGGCTCTTCCAACGAGATATTCCGGAAGATGAGGCTCTGTAATCCAGTTAGGCTTTTTGGAATTTCCCCAGTAAAAGAGTTGTTTGATAAGTCCAAGTAAAAGAGGAACTGAAAATCACCTAACCAAACTGGAATAGTTGCTCTCAAGTGGTTCCATGACAAATCCAACAATTGCAAGTTTTTGCTACCACTCAACCACTTTGGAACTAAACCCGTGAGTCCACAGTTGGCAATAATGAGAGCTTTCAGTTTTATAAACTGCAGACCAGGATCAGCGGGCAATTCTTCACCATGGAAATTCATGGTTAGAATCAAAGTAGTTAGGTTCGAACAATGCTGTAGAATTTGAAGGGCAGCTGATAGGTTATGAATTTCGGAAGTGGAATTAGAGATGGAAAGGTATGTGAGACTCGGGAAATTCTTGAAGCTTTCTGGTATTTGGCCAGTGAAGTAATTTTGTGCAAGATTTAAAGTTTGCAATTGTGGACACAACGAAAGATTACCAGGAATAGGCCCCGAGAACTGATTATTAGCTATATTAAGAGACACCAGATTAGTCATAGCCGAACAGTTGAGATCAAATGAACCCTCCAAAGAATTGTTTCTCAAACTAAGAGACTCCAGGGTCTGTGAATTTGCCAATGAAAAGGGTATGTGACCAGAGAAATTATTTGATTGAGCTGAGAAAAACTGTAACTTCAGAAATCTATGAAAAAAATCTGGTATAAGTCCTGAAAACCCATTTGATGATATATCCAAGCCTATAAGGTGAGAAAGGTTACCAATACCCGTGCTCAGCTCCCCGGAAAGCATGTTATCCTGAATACTCAATCGCGCCAAATTTGGTAGCCGAAATACATCTTCTGGTATACCACCAGTGAGATAATTTGAACCGACGAAGAGATGCTCTAATGAACTACAATTGCCAAATCCTGCTGGAAAATGACCTTGGAAATAATTCATAGCAACATAGATACCCCGAATTCGGGGTGAGTTGTCACAGATACCCACAGGAACCGAACCACTGAAAGAATTATCCGACATGTCAAGATGTTGGATTGAAGGCAGGCTTATATTCGTCGGAATCTGGCTGGAAAATTCATTGTTGTTCAAGTCTAGCACCTCTAAGTTTGGCAAATGTAAGAGCAACACGGGAAGCGAGCCTCGGAGGAAATTGTGAGAGAGATTGAGGGTTTTGAGCTGGTCTAAATGGCCTAATGATTCGGAGAGCTCACCCGCTAATCTCTGCTTTCCAAGATCCAACTTCACTACCCTACCGGAGTCCACAGGATCATCATTCAATCGGAGAGATGACGAGGAATTGCAAGTGATGCCTACCCAATTACAGCAATTGGGGGCTGATGAATTGATGTCCCACCCAACAATTTCTGACTCCAGACCTTTCAAGAAACCCTGTAATGCCTTGAGATCATTTGAATTGCATGTCAGGTTCTGAGAATTCATAACCTCAGCTGGTAAAGAAAACCCTAAAACAATAAAGATAACCCAGTAGTACTCTAAAACAACCATTTCAGCAACACAACAAAAACAACAGTACCATACACCCTAGACAGAGAGAAGAAGGGGGGTGTTGATAAAGTCAGGGTAGGGTACAAGGAAACCCTGAGGAAAGGAAATAGAAAAAAAGAAATGAGGGAAACAAAGATAAAATAATAGAAGGAAAAGGGATAGTGAAAGACAGACGTGAAAATGTAGAGAGAGATGCACAGAGCGAGACATTGGGCTGGCATCAAAATGTCGTCTAAATGGGGTTGCTCCCCTTTTTCTTCAAGTTGAAAATTTGAAAGGGAGACAGATTCAATCACCGTAGGTGTATTCAACGCAGTAGATTTTTTTCTTCATCCAATTTTTGTCACGTCACCTCTTACTTAACCCAAGTTTAAGCTTGGTTTTGTTTCACCCATCCATGGTTAAACTCAAATATTAAAAACTTTGACCCAAATTATTTTGATACCAATTTCAAACCTGGTCAAACCTTCTGCCCTAACTCAAAATCCCTGTAACCCAAATTCAAACCTTCAGCCCTAATTCAAAATCCCTGTAACCCATAATTCAGCCACTGTCCTTAACCTTTCGCCTTCCCCAAAATTCCTTAACCTTTCGCCTCATTTCCTTGCATGGTCACTGCTCATCTTCACCAAAATTCCTTTGCCGTTCGCCTTGTTTCCTTGCATGGTCGATCAAATCCGAGAATTTTAAAAAAACTCTTTGCCAAATACTGTTTAATTTCCCGTTATCGCCTCAGATTGACTGAGACAGTCGTTTCGTTTCCTTGGTCACTGTTTATCTTCCCCAAAATTCCTTAACCTTTCATCTCGTTTCGTTGCATGGTCGATCAAACCCGATAATTTTAAAAAAGCCCTTTGCCAAATACTGTTCAACTTCCCCCAAAAATTCTTCTACTGTTTCAAATTGAAAATTCTAGGGTTTGATCCTTTCTCTTCACCGTCGAGAAGCTGTGTTGCTCTTTTTCCTATTCGCCTCTCCAATGTTGAGAAAAACTCGTAGTGGTCATAATTCTTCAAATAAAGGTAAACACATCCAACCACTAATTCTCGTCAACTTACTGAAGATAATGATGTCGTCATTCGATTCACGAGGATAAATACTTACATTTAGATAAATTCTTACACATGCTCCCCCAAGTGTTTGTTCTCTGCCTGTGTTGAACGCTCACTTCCTATTTGGAAAATAGATGTTTGTATTTAGGTTTTATTTAGTATAGTATTATTTAGTGTAATTGTGACGTTTCCAAAATTTTGCCATTTTTCATCTTTTCGGAAATTTTGTCGCAGCAAGGGCCGTACCGGACAGTGTAGAGTGTGTTGAGTCTGAGAGTTGTTTGGGCATTTCATTGAGTTCAGGACTTTTTGAAATGTAAGGGTGGCCATTTTCGTATTTTTTCATTTTTCGGGCCGGACGGTCCCGTGTAGGACCCGTTACTGGAATTGTCGTGCACGAGGATTTTAATTGGGTCTATTTGCATCATATCTATTTTATTTATTATGTTTCAAGTGATTGTGAATTATTTGGTGTAAAAAGAAAATAAAAATAAAGGGAAAAGAAATTGTTTTGGTGGTGGGACCCACCACCACCTCTTTTATTATTTGGAAGGCCATTTAGGCCTCTCATTTTCTCTCACTCTCCCGTAGCTCTCTCCCCCTCCTCATTCTTCTAGAGTTTTCTTTTTTTTTTTTCTTTGGGGTTTCAAACTTCAAATCTTGATTCCTCCTTCACTACTTGAAATTTTTGGAAGCCGTTTGCGGCAATTCGAAGAGCTCAACGAGACCTTCACGTTGATGTAAATAATTTCTTATTTGGCTAAGCTTGCAATTTCGAAAATTCTAGGGTATGAATTGGGGATTTTCATCTCCATTGAGGTAAGGGTGCTCTAATGCATGATTTCTTATACTTTTGTGAGTTTTATAACTTGAATTGATGTCTAACATGTTCAATTAGTATAAATTTTTGTAAAAATTGCTTAAATAATAGGTATGGAATATATGTGACTAATTGTTAATTATTTTATAGTGTTTAAACATGCTTATATGAAGTTGAATCCATGTCTTATATGCTTGTTATGCAAAACTAATGTTAATTAAGAACTTTAGTTATGTAGTTTAGAAATTTGCTTTATATGTGTGAGAGTTTTATAGTGGAATTGATGAATTGAAGTATGAAACATTTCATGCATCCATTGGGAAAGAAAAAGGGGAAAAGTGTTTTTTTTTAAAACAAGTGAAACTATTTTGGGAAAAGTCTTCTAAAAGTGTTTTCGAAAAAAACTCGAACGCCTAGTTGGCGCCTAGTGGTCAGTGGTGTTAGTGTAGTCTAGAGGGAGTATGGTTAGCTAACTAGGCCGAATGCGATTCCTTGGAGGTGCCTTGTGGTCGTGGATAGTTAGTCAATCCTCCTTTCGTGACGTCTTGGAGGTGCCTTGGGTCGGATTACACTAATGGTTTAGAAGTTGAAACGGAAATGTTTTGGATATGGAGAACGACATTGCACTTCATTAGAATATATGGTGTGTATGTGTTTGGGTGATAATTGTTATATAATTGTCACTGTAGTTGTTGCCATGTACCCCTATACTATGATCTCGTTTTCTTTTACATATTCCTTACGTGGATTCACGGGGTTATAAGAAGTGTATCTTAGACACTTCCTACTAAGCGTTTAGCTCACCCCATTATTTTAATATTTTCAGGTTCAAGAAAAGAAGTGCGCAGACGACAATCCACCATAGTTTTAGCTTGAATTAGAAGAATGTCTCTTTTTTTTCTATTTTTTATATTTAGGCCTCATTTTGTAAAGTGTTGACCTAAAGTGTATCATTTTGCAACATGTGAAGTATTTAGATTCATTTTGTATATGGCCATTGGGGTAGTGTAATTAAGTTTATTTACACTAAATCCTTTAGTGTATTTTATGTAACGTGTTGTAAATTATGTTCACACTGTTATTGTTACTTTTGTATTAGGTGTTGAAATGTATAAAAATGTGTATGTTGTTATGGTGGTGTTGGGTGATTGGTTATCAATGTTGGTGTATCTCGGACAATGACCATTTTTAGTTTGGATAACCTATAACCGATCGACGTAAAATTTCCACACGTCGACCGAATGACCTGAACCAGTCGACGTGAGTTTCCCACACGTCCACCAGTATCTTGGCAAAGAGTTTTCCGCTGTACACGCCTTAAACTAGTTGACGTGTAACTCCCCATACATTGACCGATTCCTGTGTAGTAAATGTATGTGACTTATTTTTTTCCATTTTGCCCTTGACCACTCACTCAAATGTATTGTCACACATTATAAGGCCCAGTAAAATACAATAATTATATTTTAACCATAGAAAAGACTATATTGCCCCGGACTTTATCTTATTTATTATGTGATACGAGTAAATGAATATTGTGCCCCTTTGAGTCTCAAATCATTTGAATTGTGGCAAATTACCATCTTGTCCTTTTTGGACTTTAATTTATTAATTTAACGTGAAAAGACTGTGTTACCCTTGGATGATTTTGGATCGGGTAAAGACCCGATTAATGATCTAGATTCAGTGGATTTGGGTCGTTACAAATTTGGTATCAGAGCTTTAGGTTCGAAAACCTAAGGACGACGGGTATGGTTGACCTAAGTGGGACTTGAGTTGAGTTGGAAGTATTGACTGTTAAAGTGTTTAATGTTTTGAAAAGCATGTTTTCTTGTTACTTGTTTACGTGTTTACAAATTTGAAGGCATGCCTATTTGCTAAGTGCTTATGTGCTTAAATGTTAAAATTTGTGTTACATGGCCATGCATGTGAAGTAATTATATAATCTAACTATTAAGATGAATTGGGAATGCATTTGAAAGCATGTTATACGTGATAAGATGGCAAGTTATGAGCACGGATTGTGCAAGTGTGTAGTATATGAAATGATGATGAGGATGGAAGGGATAATTAATTTTACATAATAATCTAATGGACTTATTGTTTAAACTTTTGTGATAAGACAAGGTTGTGTCAAGGGTTATGCTTCAGTTATTGTGTGTGTATATATATATATAAGTATGCCTTGTGTATATACTTATATTCTTATGTGTATATACGGTTGAGTATGGGATGTTTGTGTGAGTTTTGACCTGAGTAGACGAGGAGCTCGATTGCTCCAGAATTAATGGGTGCCAGTTCTTATCGAATAAATGGTTTGGTCTTTTAGCTCGTGGATTGAACTATTTGGTGTACAATCATTTTGATTTTCTTGTTGCATTTGTGCGGTGCTTAGAGCACGACGTCAGAATGGGTTTGTATCTCATGGCATGGTGCCTTGTTAGGTGTGAGTTTCATGCATCGGCGAATGGGTTTTTGTGACCGTATGGGTCAGGTGTGTGAGTGGGAGTTATGTGGGAGAAGGGTATGACCTTAGGGGGTTAGTGTTTGTGACTTGGGTCACGATTTAGTGTGGAGGTTCTTTTCGAACTGATCGTTGTAGGCATGACAGAGGTTGTTTGAGTCACGAGTGTGGTCTATGGGTTGTAGATGTGTATTGCGGGTGTTCTGGTACGGTCTAGGGAGGTGTGTTAATTATGGTCTGTTGGGAGGTGATTCCTATTCCGGGAAACTGCAGGAGTGCGTCATGGGTAATTGACTCTCGATGAGTTGATTTCATAGCTTAGTGGATGAGTAGGGTTGTAGGTTGTATCGGTTGTCGAGAGAACCTTGAAGTGGGGTATATTAGTTAGTTTTAGCTGTGTAGTGCAGGGTTGCACGATAGGGTAGGTTGTATGAGGTCATTGAAGTGTTTGGTTGTTTGTGAATGAGGTGATTGATGATAGGTACTGTGTTATCAAATGGACTGTGTTCTAGGATTTGAAAGCTATGGATTGGAGTTGGATTTTATGTTGCTTCTAGAGTATGAGGAGGTAGTGGTTATTGTTTGAAGATCCCAAAAAAAAAAAAAAAAAAAAAAAAAAAAAAAAAAAAAAAAACTGATGACAAGAATGATTTAGGACGAGGGTGATTCTGTAGGCTTAGTTGATTAACCCATTTGACTTTTGTCAAGGCTAAGGGTGTTCTGAGGAACGGGAATGATGAGAAGCAATGATATTGAACCTAGTACGTGAAGTTTCGTTATTTAGGCATGTAGATTGCCTTAGGAATAATGATTCAAGTAGCTGGATAAGCATTCAGGATTGATTGCATCATTGATGGTTTTAAGGAGACAATTAAGTGTTGAGCATTATGGGTTTTGAGCCCATTTTATTTTGAGGATTTATCGGCATGGCATTGCCATATGGAGGTTCTTTTCTAGTGGTATGTAGTGGTCGCTATGGGGAGTATCGAGGGTAATGGTTATTTTCTTGTTATGATGGTGTTATCTTAAGGATGTTGGAGGGAGAATCATTTGGTAGTGGCTTGATGGTCCAGTAAAATGATAGGTGTGAACCGTTGTTGGAATGAGTGACAATGAAGGTATAATAGTGTGGTGTTTAATGCTGACGAGTAGAACGGTTTAAGGTATGATCCTGATGTGGTTTAGAGATTATGAGTTGTTTGTTGTGTGGTGACAGGTATATGTTGGGATTGTGTTCCAGTTAAGGTGATTGTGGACAATTTAGCCCTTAGAGCCAGTGAGAGTAGTATTGCTAAGTATACATCTTTTTCTTTCGAAGAATCAGTAGGTTGTCGTGACTGAGGTCACGAGTCTTATGCGCATGATGATCGAGGCAGTGTCATTTGGGTAGACATAGATGAAGTGGATGGTAAAGTGTCGTTTTATGACGTAGAGGTGGTTAGTTGGAAATGACTGATTCTAGGTATAATAGGGCGTGATGCCCGAAGGCCTATGATTGTTTCTAGTGTCAGTATGCTGTGAGTGTCGGTGCTCTTACCTGGTTGGTTTTGGTTCGTAGGGGTATCGCGGTATACCATATACGAGGCTTCTGTGTTGATAGAGTATGACGGTCCGTTAGCGGTGAGGTCGCCTGTAATCGAGATTATAGTCCTTTATGTGTTTTCAATTGTTTATTCTCTTTGTGTGTTGGGAGTTCATTTCATCTCAGGTAAGATTGGGTGTCCAAGGTTGGACGATTGATGAGTAGCGTGTGATAGGGTATTGGGTGCATTCGGGTACGAATTGTCAATCCCTTGTGAGAGTGGGATCGTTGCCCTTTCCATT